CAATTACGGTCCAGCAAAACCATCGATAATTGGGATCCATTTAGCAAACATACGTGTACATACATCATTTCTGCAGTTTTAAAGATATAATGTCATGAGTAAAAATGAATTCATGCAGGTCCGAATGTAGTAGGGGTCACATTACGAGTTAATACACGCCACAGAATTATCTACGATATTATATATGTGCTATCAATGTAATGAACGTCCCAGATTTTATTGATTATGCGTAGAAATGTTTTCAATTCACGACACAAATTTATGAAAACATATTACAATCGTAATAGTCGAACCGACAGCATGACATACCAATCGCAATGTGTATTCCCGGTGCTGAGAATTGAAAACTTGATTTTTCAACTTTTCACAACAGATTGGAACCTTCAATTGAAACATCAACCATCTTGAAAACTAAGTTCAGAGATTGTGACTGAAAATCTCGATTCTACAGCCGATTGAACTGTGACCGGAGATGACGAAGTTCGAATTGTAACCGAAAATCTCGATTCTATATATATATATTTGAAAATTGGAAGCTTTTTAACTGAAAACTGGTTTGTACATACTTAATCCCTTATTTATGATTTTTTTTCCCAATATACTAATAGAAGACCCACTTAGCTCGGGCCCAGCGTTGTGTGCCTTGGCCCATGCTCAAGTACTAGTTAGGGCTATCAATTGAATATTATTCTAATTCAATAAAAATTCATACTCTATACCTACTTTCACATAATATTTATCGTGACAATACCTTATATCCTCAAAACTTCTATAGTTCCACCGCTAGGAGCATCTCTCGATCGTATTACAAAAAGATTATATACTATATTTTTTTTACGGATGTATTTGAGCGTAAATGATTTTCTCTTATCACGACTATCTTTTTCTTAAATAATATTTTAAGTAAAAATAGTAGGGCGGTGATTTTATTCTTTTTAATTTTTTAATTTGACGGTCAAAGGAGTTGACTACTGAAGAATTGGATGAAATCCCTCCATTTCGATGTATGAATCTAATTTATCAAAGATTGAGGATCTATTTGTCCAAAAACAAAGTTTGGGAAGAAAGTGCAAAAAGTTTGTAACGGTTGGGGATGTTTACTGCAATAATGTTTGGGAAAACCCTCAACATTGTTTTCAAACCCACGTGTCTTTCATCTATTGGTTAAGTGACGTAGTCCGCGAACGACTCCTCTTCATTTAAGGATAAAGAAAACCATTTGGGGTAATGTACCCTGCATAGATTCCGCCTTCAAGCAATCGATTTTTCAAGTTCGTACAATTCTTTGCTCTCGACATCTCCCAGCCATAGAATAGTTCATCGAAACTCTATACGTGTGAAACATAATCACTGCATATATCCTTTGGAGTGTATATAGTATGTGACGATGTGTACTTGTATTTCGATACTAGATGAAACAATAGTAGTCGATAATTGCCTGTGAGTTCCCAATATTATGTTTGAGCCACATGTGTGACCATTAGTAATATTTCTACATCACCGTCACTTCTTATTCTCACCGTTGGCAAATCATGATTCAATACATACTGTATTGTGACGGCTACCTTCGTATGATCCAAACTGAACTCGATCATTATAGTATCCACAAACTTAGTATAAGTACAATTACGGTCCAGCAAAACCATCGATAATTGGGATCCATTTAGCAAACATACGTGTACATACATCATTTCTGCAGTTTTAAAGATATAATGTCATGAGTAAAAATGAATTCATGCAGGTCCGAATGTAGTAGGGGTCACATTACGAGTTAATACACGCCACAGAATTATCTACGATATTATATATGTGCTATCAATGTAATGAACGTCCCAGATTTTATTGATTATGCGTAGAAATGTTTTCAATTCACGACACAAATTTATGAAAACATATTACAATCGTAATAGTCGAACCGACAGCATGACATACCAATCGCAATGTGTATTCCCGGTGCTGAGAATTGAAAACTTGATTTTTCAACTTTTCACAACAGATTGGAACCTTCAATTGAAACATCAACCATCTTGAAAACTAAGTTCAGAGATTGTGACTGAAAATCTCGATTCTACAGCCGATTGAACTGTGACCGGAGATGACGAAGTTCGAATTGTAACCGAAAATCTCGATTCTATATATATATATTTGAAAATTGGAAGCTTTTTAACTGAAAACTGGTTTGTACATACTTAATCCCTTATTTATGATTTTTTTTCCCAATATACTAATAGAAGACCCACTTAGCTCGGGCCCAGCGTTGTGTGCCTTGGCCCATGCTCAAGTACTAGTTAGGGCTATCAATTGAATATTATTCTAATTCAATAAAAATTCATACTCTATACCTACTTTCACATAATATTTATCGTGACAATACCTTATATCCTCAAAACTTCTATAGTTCCACCGCTAGGAGCATCTCTCGATCGTATTACAAAAAGATTATATACTATATTTTTTTTACGGATGTATTTGAGCGTAAATGATTTTCTCTTATCACGACTATCTTTTTCTTAAATAATATTTTAAGTAAAAATAGTAGGGCGGTGATTTTATTCTTTTTAATTTTTTAATTTGACGGTCAAAGGAGTTGACTACTGAAGAATTGGATGAAATCCCTCCATTTCGATGTATGAATCTAATTTATCAAAGATTGAGGATCTATTTGTCCAAAAACAAAGTTTGGGAAGAAAGTGCAAAAAGTTTGTAACGGTTGGGGATGTTTACTGCAATAATGTTTGGGAAAACCCTCAACATTGTTTTCAAACCCACGTGTCTTTCATCTATTGGTTAAGTGACGTAGTCCGCGAACGACTCCTCTTCATTTAAGGATAAAGAAAACCATTTGGGGTAATGTACCCTGCATAGATTCCGCCTTCAAGCAATCGATTTTTCAAGTTCGTACAATTCTTTGCTCTCGACATCTCCCAGCCATAGAATAGTTCATCGAAACTCTATACGTGTGAAACATAATCACTGCATATATCCTTTGGAGTGTATATAGTATGTGACGATGTGTACTTGTATTTCGATACTAGATGAAACAATAGTAGTCGATAATTGCCTGTGAGTTCCCAATATTATGTTTGAGCCACATGTGTGACCATTAGTAATATTTCTACATTACCGTCACTTCTTATTCCCACCGTTGGCAAATCATGATTCAATACATACTGTATTGTGACGGCTACCTTCGTATGATCCAAACTGAACTCGATCATTATAGTATCTACAAGCTTAGTATAAGTACAATTACGGTCCAGCAAAACCATCGATAATTGGGATCCATTTAGCAAATATACGTGTACATACATCATTTCTGCAGTTTTAAAGATATAATGTCATGAGTAAAAATGAATTCATGCAGGTCACAATGTAGTAGGGGTCACATTACGAGTTCATATACGCCATGGAATTATCTACGATATTATATGTGTGCTTCCAATGTAATGAACGTCACAGATTTTATTGATTATGCATAGAAATGTTTTCAATTTACGACACATATTTATGAAAACATATTATAACCGTAATAGTCGAACCGACAGCAAGACATACCAATCGCAATGTGTATTCCCGGTGCTGACAATTGAAAACGTGATTTTTCAACTTTTCACCACAGATTGGAACCTTCAATTGAAACATCAACCAACTTGAAAACTACGTACAGAGATTGTGACCGAAAATCTCGATTCTACAACCGATTGAACTGTGACCGGAGATGGCGACGTTCGAATTGTAACCGAAAATCTCGACAGTCCCGCTACACTGCCCGGGTGGGTGACCGATTATTTCTTGGCTGACATGGCATCTATATAAAAAAAAAAGAAAAATTAAATTGTAGAATCCCGTTTCAAAATCGAACTCGTTCTCCCAAATCCCTATTCACAATCAATTCCGCACCAACTAAAACCCACGCCGTCACAATCTCCACCGGCACGTTGTTGCCGCTCCTCTGGCAGTACTTCTCTATACTATTACAGCACCGAACATTTTTCGATTTTCGCACCGCACCGTCTGCTGAAATTTGGACACTAGTTTAAGGTTTGAGACCCCAAAAAATGTGAAACGGGCATTTGAACTTCAAGATTTATCCTTGCGGATGGTTTAATTGAAGATGCTTTTCAATAGGTAACTTGTTCTGTGTCTTTGTTTATTTGTATTGATTGTTGAGGAAGTGACTTTTGGATGAAGAGTTTTAAGCCTTAAGAATGCTAATGAATGAGACTTTTGGATGAATTCTGAGCCTTAAGAATGCTAATGAATGAGACTTTTGTATGATGACGGACAGTGAATGTTCCTTAAGAATGTTAATGAATGCTAATGAATGAGATATTTGTATGAAGACTTTTGAGGCTTTTGGATGAAGACAGACAGTTCATTGAAATCAATTGCTTCTCTTTACACGTTACTTTTTTCTTCATGCTCGTGCCCATGTTGCATGTGATACTGTGCCATTTTTATAGGCAGGATGAGAAAGATATAATCCATGTATTGGAATAATTAAAGAAGCTTTGTTAGTGTGAATGATGAAGTAGATGGGAGAACACTTCTCTCTTATGTATTGGAAAGATATAGTCAAATGTATTCACTTTATTTGTAGTTATCATGTTATATATGTTCAAATGATAAATCTGTGTGGTTTATTCCCATCCTAGAATGGTAGGAAGGAATGTGATTGTATGCAAGGAAAACGGTAGCACGGAGTCTAACACATGAGTGGAGGCGTCGCCTTGATTAATAGTTATTAATCGAACGGTTACATGAAGTTTTGTATATGTCGGATTATTATGACGGAATCGATGTAAACTTTGTTCCTAAACTATTGGAATGTGAACTTTTGTATAATTTAACTGTTAGTGTATATAGTTTGTTTCCTTCATTAATTCCAAAATATACCTAGTGAGTGATTCACTACTGAAATGATTGGGAGAACTTAGCTGGCTTAAATGATTGACATATGAGCGTGATATTGCTGTGTTTCACTTAATGATGTTAACACTATGGTTATAATTAAAGATAAATCCGATTTGCCTAAATGCCGCCTCCCTCTGACAATTTTCCTTGTGACTGGAAATGTAACACTTTGGCAGCTACACGGAGGAGAAAATAATCAAATAATAATTTTGAATCTATAACATTACCACTATACTGAGTTGAACTTCTAGTGCAATTTTACAAACAGAGTTAAACTTCTATCTGGCAATATATAAAGAACCTTCACTGTCATCCCATTTTGCTAAAAGGGCAACAAGAAAACTAAAGGATTATGCTTCACGTGTATCTTTTTCTTAAATAATATTTTAATTAAAAATAATAGAATGGTCATTTTATTCTTTTTAATTTTTTTAATTTGATGGTCGAAGGAGTTGATTAATGAAGAATTAGATGAAATCCCTCAATTTCGATGTATGAATCTAAGTTATCAAAGTTTGAGGATCTATTTGTCCAAAAACAAAGTTTGAAAAGAAAGGGCAAAAACAATTATAACTGTTGGGACGTTTACTGCAATAACTCTCGAAAAAATCCCATTTTCAAACCCACGTGTCTTTCATTTATTCGTTAAGTGACGCAGCAACTCCTCTTGATTTAAAGGTAAAGAAAACCATTTTGGGGTAATGTATCCTGCATAGATTCCATTCAAGCGATCGATTGTTCAAGTTTGTACAATTCTCTCTCTGAATAATCTCTTTTTTTTTTTTTTGGATATTTGCAGATCTGTGATGTGAATTATATTTTATTTTGTGGCGATTCGAGTTTTTTGCCTTTATAATTCTTTTGCTTGTGTTTGCACATAATCAATTTAGAAAGAAAAAAAAATTAGAAACAGATCTTGATTGAAATCATAGATCTCCTGAGGTTATACATCGATGCTTCGTATTTGGTCAATTGTTTTAATGACCTGCAGTCGATTTCCTGAATGCTGTTCATCTGTAATTTTTTGCAGATGCGTTGGTAATTGATGCATTTGTATGATTAATAGATTGAAAATTCTTTTTTTTTCTTTTTTTTTTTTTCGTGTTACTGGTTTGATATAAGTTAGTTTACGTGTCCTGATTTTGGTTAATTGTATGTGTAGTCTTCTGGTCAAACACTCAGATTACTCAAGCAATGAGATCCTTCTCATAATGTAGATCTGTTTTAAGATAAATGTGGAAAATATTGAAAGTCCCCAATCTAAGGTGATCTAATTATGTTGCCAGTGTATACAAGTCAACCCAGAAATGAAGCATACTTTTGCACCTTCACTTGTGTAAAAAGTCTTTAAGGATATTCATTGAACTAGTGTTGTTAAATTTTATCTGAGGTACATTTGGTTGTGAATTTGAAATTTCACTTAGTTGTTTGAATTTCATTCGTTGAATTCACAACCACACATCAAGAGCTAGTATAAAAAATTTGGAAAATTATTTCTTTCTAATATGCATCAAATTTAGCGAACTAAGATGCAGTGAACATTATATGTTGTCCTTAGTCACTCTACCTGAGCATTTCTTTGTGTAATGTGATTGTGCAGGTCCTGTTGGGTTATTTTAGTATAAAAGGATGGGAGGTGGATTTAGAGTGCTCCATCTGGTTCGACCTTTTCTTTCTTTCCTGCCCGAGGTTCAGAGCGCGGACAGGAAAATTCCATTTAGAGAGAAGGTCATCTACACTGTAATATCTCTTTTCATTTTCCTGGTTTGTAGTCAGCTGCCATTGTATGGAATACACTCCACAACAGGTGCGGATCCATTCTATTGGATGCGTGTAATTCTTGCCTCGAACAGGGGAACTGTTATGGAGCTTGGTATCACGCCTATAGTGACATCTGGACTAGTTATGCAACTTTTAGCGGGTTCAAAGATCATTGAAGTTGATAACAATGTCCGAGAGGATCGAGCCCTGTTGTAAGTAGAAAAAAGTCATATAATACTTATTTTATGTTTTGATCTTTATTATATTTTCATTGAAATATGGGTATTGGGAAAGGTCTTTAGTTAACCACAAGTTTTTCCTTTTAAGTTCTACATAGAAAGAGTAGGTTGATGCATAACTTTCAAGTTACCTCTTCAGATTTATCTGTGTGCTCGTGCACATGTGGTGCTGGAGTATCTCAGAATGTTCAGGAAGCAGAAGTTTATCTTATTCTTAATGCTTTGGCTATGTAGTTGTTTATTTGTTTTTATCGTCTCAATGATGATGATCCTTAATCAACCAGAAATGGAGCACAGAAGTTATTAGGCATCTTGATAGCAGTTGGTGAGGCAGTTGCATATGTTCTGTCGGGAATGTATGGCAGTGTTGGTCAACTTGGAGTTGGAAATGCAATCCTTATTATTCTTCAGCTCTGCTTTGCTGGCATCATTGTAATTTGTCTAGATGAACTTCTCCAGAAAGGATATGGTCTGGGGTCTGGAATTTCACTCTTCATAGCAACCAATATTTGGTAAGCTTTTATTCATTTAATCTATTTTCTGCCCCTTGGTTTTGCATACAGAACAGATATTTATTTATTAAACGTTTTTCTGATTGACAGTGAAAGCATCATTTGGAAAGCTTTTAGCCCAACCACTATCAACAGTGGACGTGGAGCCGAATTTGAAGGTGCTGTTATTGCGTTGTTCCATTTGTTGATAACTCGAACAGACAAAGTTCGTGCTCTGCGAGAGGCATTCTATAGGCAGAACCTTCCAAATGTTACAAACTTGCTTGCTACCGTCTTAGTCTTCCTCATTGTCATCTACTTTCAAGGGTTCCGTGTGGTTTTGCCTGTGAGGTCGAAGAATGCTCGTGGGCAACAGGGTTCATATCCAATTAAGTTGTTTTACACTTCCAATATGCCCATTATTTTGCAGTCTGCACTTGTATCCAATCTTTACTTTATTTCCCAGGTACTAACATTTTTTGTTAACATGAGCAAGTTAGAGTGATCTACAGATATCTAGACAATCTAATCTCAATTGTACCTACATATACAGTTGCTGTATAGGAGATACGGTGGAAATTTTTTGGTGAACCTCTTGGGGAAATGGAAGGAATCTGAATATTCTGGCCAGTCCGTCCCTGTTGGTGGTCTTGCTTATTACATAACTGCACCATCAAGGTAATTAAGAATCTTCCCTTATTTCTGTCCTTGCAGCTGCTGGTTTTCACTACTCTTTTTTTGCGCGCTTATGTTGATGGGCTTAACTTTTATTTTTGCTGTGGACCACACTCACTCTTCAGTAATGACTTCTGTTTCTCAGCTTGTCGGATATATTGGCCAATCCGTTCCATGGACTATTTTATATTGTATTTATGCTGTCTGCATGTGCTTTGTTCTCAAAAACGTGGATTGAGGTCTCAGGATCCTCAGCTCGAGATGTGGCTAAGCAGCTAAAGGTATGATTAATGTGCAATTTCAAAATTTTCCTCGATATCATGTTCATCCAAGAATTTTTATCATCATCCATGATTAATGTGTTACATGAAAAAAAAAAAAATCCAATTTTTATCATCAACTCCACATATACATGAAACTATATAACTTTACTCTTCACGTGAGTTGCATAACATTTCCCAGGGATGCAAAATGGAATTAGGTGATGCATATGTTCTTTATCTTATTATTGGAGAGAAAATGTAATTAATTGGACAAAAACTAATCTGAATTTCCATGAACTCTTCAGGAACAACAAATGGTGATGCCCGGACATCGGGAATCAAATCTACAGAAGGAGCTGAACCGCTATATACCTACTGCAGCTGCCTTTGGTGGCATGTGCATTGGTGCACTAACTGTGTTGGCCGATCTCATGGGGGCAATTGGTTCAGGGACGGGGATTCTGCTTGCCGTCACTATCATATATCAGTATTTTGAGACATTTGAGAAGGAGAAGACCAGCGAGCTTGGTTTCTTTGGTTTCTAAAGGACTGTTTCACAGAGCTACTCTTAACCCAAATTTCCTTTCTTGGCGAGCTTAGAGGTTGGGTAGATGTTACCTTAACGCAACCATAGGTTCCAAAACTAGGAAATTTAGATTAGTTTGTTGTTAAGGTACATGTATTTTGGAAAATTCGTACACTCGGAAGTTTTCAGCAGTTTTTGTTTTATGATTATATGAAATAGCTTATGGAGAAGCTCACTGTGTTTCAACAGCAAATTCGACATGCACTGGTCCTTTTGTTGCTGTTTAATTACACTAACTATAAATTTTACTTCAATGAATAATGTGTTGCCCGCATTTACTGTTGGATGTGCGATTTTATGTCCTAAATAGTGTCGGCTTTTGATCAGAAAATTGGACGGAAACCATCCACTGAGGTTATTGATGTAAGGAAAGTGAAAAGTTGTGAGTCGACTCGATGTTGTATGATTTAGTCCCTCTTTCTTTGGTTAAAACCTTGTCACGTGAGTACTTCCTTTCCTAGTGCCAGTCAAGTACATCGCCTAGCAATGGTCCTTATTAGTGATGGGTACGTAAGATTCATCACTGGCAATTTTCCCAAGCTGTCTCAATACTCGCAAAGAAGGGTGGAGACAAATCCTTGTTCTCCCTACGACGTGAAAAATTAGAACTCTGCGGAGAATAGTCATAAAAGGAATTCATGTAAAAGGAAAAAAGTCTAGAGAATGTGAAAAGATGTCACTAAAATTTTCTTTGAATGTGAAAAGTCCTTTATGTATACACTTATCTGACACATGAAGGAAGATTCATGGGCGATGGAGAGAAACTCGTTGTGATCCAACCCCTTAGAGGGACACACGGCGAACCGTGTTGGGATTTGTCTCCAATGGACACATGATGGAAGATTCATAATTAGTTGTGTCACTCTATTAATGAGTTGATAAATTTTGTTAAAACCTAATATATCAAGATTTTGCTCTCTTCTTGGTTTCGAAGGGGTCTGGGTAAATCTTGGACATCTTGGCAGTCGAAAACTTGGAAGAATCCCCGACAATACGCCTTTCTCATAAATTGTGAAACGCCTCTATAACCCCAAAAATATAAAACAGAAAGAAAAGATAAAAAGGATTCAATCATTTAACTTAGAGATTATGACTACGCCACTTAGATTAAGTTATTTTTGAATAATTTGAAAAGACTTGAGGCAGAAAATGAGTTCATGGTACAATAATGTATCCAAAATAATTTAATTCATTTTTGTACTGATCAAATTTCCTGCATAGAAACAAGTTTTGGTGCGTCAAACAACAAAAAAATAGGATTTAAATTTAAAATACTCAAATGGGACAAAAAATTTCCACTCATTTATATCTATTTATAATTGCAGCAGTTTATAAACGCCTACCAAACATATGCTACGTTATTGGTATAATATAGTACTGTAATTAAATTAATTGTTAAATTTCCTCTTAAATCATAAAAAATCTACATGCTTTACCTACAACTTTCCAAAATTGACATTGCATTTCATGGGTTTGAATTGGCATTGGTGAAGAAAAAACCAAACATTTGAATTCTCCTTTTGATTTCAATTTCATGCTCCAAATGCTGATATGCATGCAGTCTGAACTGTGAAGAAGCAAGTTTGGCATTCTCCATCAACAAATTCTGAAAATGCAAAAAAGAAAATGGAATATTCCTTTGAGAAAGAAACATCACAAAAAAGTGCAACAGAAATAGTAGAATAAAACTCTTGAAAAAAAAATGTATTATCTTGATATAGTCGAAACAAAACATAACTATTTCCCTAGATTAATACAAGTAAACAACAGCAGCAGCAGCACCACCACCACCACCAACAACAACAAGGAAAGGGAAGAAAAGAATGTACAAAGTGATGTTATCGGTATAAAAGTTGGATGATAATAACTTTCTACTTTGCATTAGGAATCTCTCATTGAACACCAAGAACGGAATGACTAAAACATCAATTGTATGAATTTATGAACAATCAAATAATAAGAGAAAGAAGGACTCACTTTCAAAAATCTGCACACGTTCTTTATTTGATGCTATTGTTACCTTTTTGATGACAGGATTGCTATCGGGTTACCTTCTTTTTAAACTTGACAACATAGTCTGTTTTAAGCTTCATATGGAAAACCATCACGTGTAAAACCTTAAAAAATGGAAGCAAAACGCATTCAGACATCGGAATTTTAAAAGATAAAAAAAATACAAAAAAAACTAAAGTCATTTTACTTAAATTTTAAAAATTAAGGTTTTAACTGTGAGGCAAAAATACAAACAGTTGATGATTTGGAACTAGACAAGATGGCTGCCATAATAAATAAACAAAGCTCAATGAAACACAATGAACCTCAAAATCCGATATAATCTTGCATAGAAAAAATCGTGTATAAGCAAAGTCCACTTCCTGCTTCTTCGTGCTTCGTAAAGCATGACGTCAGTGCAACTCTCACTTTCTTATTTGTAGAACTCCAGTTATCAAAAATTTACGTGAAAGGGGGAGGTCTAATTTGCTTGGGCTTCATTCTTTAGAGACATTTTTTTTCTTATTTTGAGATGGACCCGGTTCTTGCTTGGTCACGTGCTCTTTTTCTTGTTCCTTTTTTAAAGATGGACATCGTTAGCTCCTTATTATGGAAACATCCATATTATCGAAGAGTTCTAAAAGGGCAAGGCTTCGTAAGTTGACATATGAAGGTAGAAGTATTGCCTGATGCAATTTTCCATCATTCCTCTCCTTTCTTCCTTCCTACCAAAAATATCATACGAACATCGATACTATGCCAGAGAAACCTCTAGACTGCCATTTCCAGTTATTAATTTGGAAGATTCGATTTCTAGGTTTGACAAAATGAAGAGTGATTAATTAAGCGTCGGGCTTCCTTCTTGAATTTTTGATTTGTTCAATTGTAGGTAGAATTAAGTTCAACATATTTCAATATTGACTTTTTGAAATTCATTTATATAAACATTATACAAAAATAAAAGAAAATATCAAATAATAAAATTGTGAAAAGATCTTATGTACGCGATCTTTTCGTTATTTTTGTAAAATTTTAATTATTTTCATCATTTGCAAAATTTAAATTTATTGTGTGTTTCATTGTTAAAATTAAATTTAAATATTGCATAATTGAGTAATCATTCATTACAGGATCGACAACTCAGACTCATTTGTCCACTTTATTACTTGTACGCGACATGTGAGCTTATAGTACATATTTTCTAGTGAATAACAAGCCCGACGTTATTTTTATATTTTTAGTGACCAAAATTCGATCACATCAAAGTTCAAGTAGCAATCAAAGACATTTTTCAAAATATAGTAAACAATTGAAGACATTTTTTAAAGTTTAGTGAGCAATGAAACATACTTTCTTACGTGGTAATTTGGTAACGAAGTGACGGAGCGCCACCAATGTATTCCGTTACGNAAGGAACTTTTTAAATCAAATTTGACAAAAAAAAAAAGTACATTATCAAATACGAATTACTTTGAAAATAAATAATAGAAATAGAGAACATAATCCCTGCTCAAATCATTTAACTTCATTTTATTTTTATATTTTATAATTGAAACCATATAAAAAGTAACTACATAATAACATTAACGTAAATTATAAATAAATAAAGCAGTAAATGAGAGTATTTTAATCTTCAACCCACCTCGCTTCCTTGTCCCCACCCTACCTACTAAATTCTCGACGAGGTCAGGTCCAAAATGTTAATCAATGTCTCCACCTCGATATGTCTCTTCTTGTTGTCATCCCTACTTAAAACAAAGAAAAGATTAAATACTAACTTTTTCAAAAATATTTAGACAATAAAAAGTAACTTTTACTTTGTGTCATAAATCTACACATCAAAAAAGCTCACCAAGAAATCCCTTTTATTGCTTTTAAACAAGAGTCGAGAATATTAATACACGGATTAATTACATACATTGATATATGTAGAAATTCCATTCAAAATATATTAAATTTCAACAACCATGACATAAATTGGTTGTAACCCTATCAATAATGACCATAAATTCCTTAGAAATAAAGGACATATTACATTTATAGGCCCCGTTTGGGAGTGATTAAAATCCAATTAAAATTGAAAATATGGCCGTTATAGGGTCCCACCCGTCTAATAAAAGTCAACAATAACGGTTATATTTTCAATTTTAATCCGATTTTAATCCCTCCCATACAAGGCCATAGAATGTTGTACGTTACAACTATGCAATTCTCACTCCATTATTGCTTTAATGAACACTACTTGGAAATCAAAGTTTGAGAGAGAGAGAGAGAGAGAGAGAGAGAGAGAGAGAGAGAGAGAGTTCATAAATGGGTCTTTGGGACGAATTTGAGGGCCACAAGGCCCAACCCAATTACCACCCCTCGTGTTAGGTGAGACTAACATGTTTGGCAAATAAATAACTTTCTTATAAGCTTGGGAAAAATATGTATAGATTCTCATTTATTAGCATAATCATGCCCAAAATGGATTCAAAGAATGTTCTTTGAATCAGTGCCCTTTACCCTCATTTTGGTAAATTTATATATGATTTATAAAGAGAAATAATAGTATATCCTACGTAATGTATGGATAACAATGAGTAATAGTTGAATGTGTAAACAAAATTAATATTTGACTTTGACTTTGATTGTTTTTATAAATCATTTATAACTTTATATCCAAATGGAGGGTGGGTATATATTTAGCTTGCGTCAATTTTTTTTAATTTAATTATTGACTCTTCAAATTCAATATTTAACTAAGGACTCGCTACATTCTTGCGACTTGCACAGAATTTTTGTAACCAAGCAATTTCGGGGGATTATCATTAATGTTTGTAAAACGTAGTGATTCTCAAATCACATATGTGCACTTGAAAGAACCGTACTAAAGTTACAGCCTTAGTTCACGATTTTTTTCACAGCCCCCTCACATGGGGTGATACCCGCGATTGTGGGCCCCACCTTCATGTGAGGGGACTGTGA